AAATGATTCAGCAAATGAAGCTTGGGACCCTTGGGCCGTGTCCAGGACTCCTTTCCTGGGTGAGACGATGGCCCCCAGAGATCCCCAGGGGAATGGGAGGGGGCCTCTCTGGGCCCAGGGCTCATTATCTTGTGCTGATGGCTGCGGCGGAAAACCATTTCCCAGCACCGAATCCCTGTGCTGCCCACCACCACCTGAGGGTGACCCCGCAAGGCTCCCCCTCCTGGGGAACACCCAGGTGGAGGAAGTGGGGGCGGAGCTTAAGAGTTGCCAAGGTACAGGGGTGCCCGGGGGGGCTCAGTCAGTTAAGCGTCTGAGTTCAGCTCAGGTCATGATCTCACAGTGGATTCGAGCCCCCATCAGCGGACAGTGTGGAGCACGCTCGGGATTCTCTCTCTCTCTCTCTCCCTCTCGCTCTCTGCCCCTGCTCCGTTCGCACTTTCTCTCTCTCAAAAACAAATAAACTTAAAAAAAAAAAAAAAAAGGCTATTGCAGCGTCCACATAAACCAAGAACGGGAGAGGGGTTGTCCTCCCAAAAGATGCTCAGCAGACAAGACCACACGTCCGCTAATCTCATCGTGTCTCCACGTATCAGTTTGCGGCTGCCAGGAAAGTGCTGTGTAACAAGCTTCACCCACATCGGTGGCTTAAAACAATCAACTCTCTCACTCACAGGGCTGCAAGCTGACCACAGAAGCCCTGTCCTTTGTGTCTCATATTGAGGCCCAAACTCAAGGGGCAGTGACCATGTGGGCAAAGCCTTCCCCACGCCATAAGGCAGAACGTCGTGAATACATGAAGAAGCAGAATACATGTTTTCCCTTAGGGCCTGGGCTCGGAACTCCCACGTCGTCCATCCAGCTTACATTCCATTGGCCAGAAAGGGTCTCTGAGCAAGGCTGACATCGAGGGGCAGGGTGGGAATCTTTTCCAAAAAGCTAAATGGTTCTGTGATATGTGCTTTCCATACATTATCTGCCTTAATCCTCCAACAATCCTAGGAGGAAAAGACATTGGTTTTTCTCCATTTTACAGATGAGGAAACTGAGGGTCAGAGTGGCGATGTAGTTTACCCGCGGGAATCCAGGGGTCGGGGCTGGAACCCAAAAGGCATCCTAACTAACCACACTCTTTTGCCTCCCCAGCACTAAGACACAATTTAGGGCCAGAGGATCCACCTCTGGGGACCCAGAGTCCCCACACCCTAGAGGGGGAAACTCGGCTTCTAGCTGGGTGAGTTTAGGCAAATCATTTCCCATCTGTGCACCTCAGTCTCCCCACCTGTGAAATGGAAATGCTCGCACTTTCCTTAGGCAGATGTGAAGATTAAAGACAAGGCATGCCACACACTAGAACGTAGTACACTTTCCACGGAACTGGGAGGCAGTGACCCCCCCCCCCCCACCCAGGCAGTATGAGTGAGGGGGGCGGAGCAGGGGTTGGGTAAAGGTCTCTTCCCAGGACGGCCATGTCGGTCACGCCCACACCCCCGCTCTCCACCCCCCGCCCCCACCTCTCCAAAAAAAATCCAAGCTGACCCACAGCTAGAGAGGATCATGTGAACGAACAGTCAGCAGCATCCATTTTCCAAGACTCTTGTCTGTCGTGCCGACAGAGAAACAGCCCGTGGAGCGTTTCAAGCCCATTTGGCAAAGGCGATTAATTTCTTCTACGTGAAATCGTCTTTTCCCGAGTGTCCATACAGACACCCAGACTGAAGGAGAAAGGGACAGGATGCGAGGGCCATCAGTGGCACTCCTTGGCCTGCGAGGGGGTGTTCTGAGGGTGGATGCCACACTGTCCTGTCACCGCAAAGGCAACCAGGCTGGGGTCCACTGACATGGCACTTGGGCAGAGAAAATTCCGGGGCTCTCACATGCATGGGCGTGCCCACGGGGACGATCTGGCGTGCAGTGGCCCGGCCACCCCGTGTTCTCTGAGCCCCTTGCTGTGCCTGCAGGGCATGACATCCCACTCCACGCCCCAAGTCATCAGGCTGCAGGCACAGCTCAGACCGAGGCCCTGAGCCAGGCCTGACCACATTGGAAACGCCATCTCACAGTGGACAGAGCTAGGATGAGCCTTGCTGCCCCAGGGGTGGGCACCAAGTGTGCCTGGAGGGGGGGCCCCGCCTCTCCAAACCCTGGCCTGACCCACCCAGCGGTGATTCTCTCTGAGAAGCCGCCAGGCTTCCTTTCCGGCACCTCCTAGTCTAATTCCCTGACTTTCTCAACACAGCTCTGCCCTGGGTCACTCGTGAGCCCCAAAGCCAGCAAGCCTGGGCCAGCCGACAAACCTCGTCTGAGAAAACCGTCCCTCTGCCCATAGCCACGTGGTACCACGTGACCCTGATAGGCAGATCCACAAGCCAACTAAAGCGGGTCTCTCTGACCCTCTGCGCACTCATACCAAGTCCCGGTTGCAAGAGACAGACCTCAAACCGGCTTAAGCAAAATGGGAATGTAGGGGCTCATGGGAACAAAATTCCTACGGGAGGAGAGACAGACTGAGCTGGATCCACGGCCCAAAAACAAAAAGTTACTGAGACTCTATATCTTGACTCTGTTTACCCCTAGGTTGGCTTTATTCTTCAGCCTCACGGGTGACCTCCAGCACCGCTAGGGTATCCTACCGCCTTTGCAACTGAGCGCAAAGGCAATGTCTGTCTCCCCAAAGTCCTAGCAAAAGCTCCAAGGTGAGGACCTTACCCAACTCCTATGACCACTCTGGAAAATAAAATCACAGTGGCCAGGGCCTGGAAAGTGGGGATTGACCCTGCCTGGGTCACAGGTTCATCCAGGGAGCGGGGACATGGGCGCAGGGGAAGATTCCTGCCCCAGCTGCTTGCACTCGGGGGCGAGGGGTAGGGAGGCATTCCCCAATAGAAAATTAAGGAGCCGCTACCACAAGATGCTGGATGGCCCCCGGCAGACATTCTACAGAATCTCTCTGGGATCGGGACTCCACACCTGTTAATGGGGGCTCATCCCGTTGATGGAGATACGAGGCAGGAAATCTACAAGGCAATGATATGTTCAGAGAGGCAGAGAAAGCCCGTCTGCAGAGAGCAAGAAAAATAAAATAGGACGTCCAGAGCAAAGAGACCTAGATCACTGAACGTTTTTAACTTCTGAGTCCCTGGTGAGGCCAGACTGACGCCTTTCCCATTAAGTCCAGGAGGGAAGGGGCCCTGGCTAGCACGCGTTTTCCCCAAGGAGCAACAACCCCGTTTCCCTTTCCGGAAGCACTCCACCCACTCTGGGTTCACGTGGTCCAACGGAGGCTGCCCCAGCCCGCCCAACAGGGAGCATGTGACCCTGCCTAGCCAATCAACTCGCTCCAATGCCTCTCCTGGCCCTCGATTGCTTCAGAGGCAGGCACATGAACAAAGCCAGGCCAATAGGACTCGACTTCCAGGGCCTTTGTTGGAAGCTCTGGGCGGAAGATGGCTCTTGAGGACTATGGGAATGAGGGCTGTTGTCGTCCTGAAGCCTGAGGGAGAAGCCGACATGGAGGGAAGTGCACGTGACAGGTGGAAATGTATTCTGAAGACACTGTTAGAGCTTCTTGGGGTTTTTTTCTAATTTTTTAATGTTTTTATTTATTTCTGAGAGAGAGAGAGAGACAGAGTGCAAGCGGGAAGGGGCATGGAGAGGGAGAAACACACACACATACACAGTCCGAAGCAGGCTCCGAGCCCCATGCGGGACTCGAACTCACAGACCGCGAGATCATGACCTGAGCCCAAGTTCACGCTCAACCCACGGAGCCACCCAGGCTCCCCTGTTCAAGCTTCCAGATTCAGCTATGCCTGTAGGCAGACTCGATCCCCTGGAGCTTTGGACTATGCAAAGCAGTGAATACCCTTTTTTCTCAGTAAGTTAAAATCGGAGTTTCTGCCACTTGTAATCCAGAGACCTGATTAATTGACTCTCCCTCAAGCCATGCTCCTCCCTTAAGTTCCTACTGTTTGCATAGTTACCCATGAAGAAGCAGATTGAAATCAGAAGGCACAGTAGGGGCCTGGGGAGGGTGTCTGTCCCCGGAGAGTCTCAGTGGCAGGTCCCAAGGGCCACCAGCTATCCTTCAGATCCAACCTTGCCCATCGGAGACCAATCAGCCGGAGCTGCGGCATGGTCGCACAGCTCCACACAGCCCATCTGGTGGGTTTTGGGGTGACACCTCCCATCCACATCCTGGTACAAAGCCTCCCTTAGCCCTGCACCGCGGCCTCCTTTGCCACCAGTCTCTCCGGGAGTGGGAATGTGGTTAAGACCCTCGGGCACTGGCTGATCCCTTCTTGTCTCTTTGTAGAGGAGTTACCGAAGGACAGTGGTCCTGGGCTCTCCTCCTGCGGTGGCACGTGCCATTTGATAGACAGCCGAGCTCGTGGTCGGCCCGAATCACCGACCCAGTGGCCACGGCTCCTGCTGCACCCCACCCCCACCCCTGTCCCACCCCCAGCCAGAGCTCTGGGAACTGGACTGTCACAACACACCGGAGGGGTCTCTGGTGCCCTTTGTGAGACAGCGAGGCGAACGTAGTGCAAAGAGCACAGACTGTGAGGTCAGCTCTGGGACCCCAGGCAAGTCACTTACCCCCTCTGTAACTTCGTCCCCTCATTTGTGAAATGGAGGGGTGATGCCTATGTTTTAGGAGCATGTAAGGAATACATGGGAGACAAGTGCCTGGCCCAGGGCCTGGCGTAAATACATGTCGCACGGAAGGAAGGAAGGAGGGCAGGGTGGAAGGAAGGAGGGCAGCAGGGAGGGGAGGAGGGAGCGAGGGACCAACCTAGCATCATATTCAGCACGTTGGAGATGCTCCGTCCTCGTTCATTCCCTCCTGCCACGTCTCCCATTTTGCACCCGGACAGCCCAGCCACTTTCTGTGGTTTTCCCACGTTTTGTCTGGTCCCGTCCTGACTCCACCCCCCTCACCGTTAGCCACCAGCCCTCATCCCCGATTCCTCTGCAGCCACACACACCCACTCACCGACCTGCGGCACAGCTGTATTGCCGCTGGAGAGACACTGAAGCAGCAGCCTGGTGCGTCCAAGCCCCAAGAATCCCAGACATGACCTTCGGACACAGCTTTCCCTTAGGCCTTCTCGTCCATCCTGGGAATCCGGGGCACACAGCCAGCCCATGCAGCCCGACACGTCCCTGAAGCACCGCCCACCTGAGACATCAGGCAGCAGGCACAGGTGCTTCTGTTTACAGAACACCCATGTTGTGCCAGGTTGCAAACTGGTGCAAACTCACTCCAGCCCCCAGATGTGTTTTGTGTGGCCCGACAGCTGTTTAAATATTGGAATAACTTATCAACAGTGAAATATCAGACAAGCTAACATCAAAAATCTCTTTGAACAGTCTAGAGATCTGGACCCACATAGCTGGGTAGTAGCAGCCCCTCTTGACTGGTATGGACTCCCCCCCCCCCCATTTGCCATAGTCCTACCACCCTGGCCCCTTCAGACATTTGGGTGTAGGACTTCTGATGTAATAATAGTCAATTCCAGCATATAGATGAGAAAGGAAGAAACGAAACTCTGCAATTTGCAGATGACGTGATTATCTATGTGGAAAATCCCAAGGGATCTGCACTCACACGCGCGCACACACACACTCGCACTCCAAGAACTAATAAGTTCAGCAAAGTCATAGGTTACAAGAGTAACACACAAGGATCAATTGCATTTCTATATACTAGCACTGAACAAGTAGGAATGGAAATTAAGTACCATTTACGATTGCTCAGAAAAATGAAATGCTTAGGCATAAACCCAGCAAAATATTACAAGGATTCTATGCTGCAAACCACAAAATGTTGATGAAAGAAATCAAAGGAGATCTGAATAAATGGAGAGATATACCGTATTCATGGATCAGAAGACTCAGCATAGTAAAGATGTCCATTCTCCCCAAATTGATATATACAAGTTTAGCATAACTCCTATCAAAATCCCAGCAAGATTTTTTTTGTAGATATAGGCAAGCTGATTCTAAAACATATACGGAAAGGCAACAAACTAGAATTTGAGCATTTTGAGAAAGACCCAAGTGGGAGGGGCCATACTACCCACTTTTAAGACTTACTATACAGGGTCACCTGGGTGGCTCAGCTGGTTAAGCATCTGACTCTTGGACTTGACCCAGGTCGTGATCTCACAGTTCGTGAATTCGAGCCGCGTGTCAGGCTCAGCACTGCTGGTAGGGAGCCTGCTTGGGATTCCCACTCCCCGCCTTCTCTCTGCCCCTCCCCCCCCACACGTGCACATGCACTCTCTCAAAATAAATTTAAAACAAACACTTACTATACAAAAATCAAGACCCTGTGTTATTGCTATAGCGACACATAGGAAAATGGAACAGAATAGAAAACCCAGAAATAGCCACACACAATCGACTGATTTTTGACAAAAGTGCAAAGGCCGTTCAATTGAGGAAAGATATTTTTTTCAATCAATGGCGCTGGAGCACTTGGATAGCCATAGGCTATATTTCTAAATAATAAATGTAATGAGAGAAGGGAGGTCACTGTGTTTTCTACATAGCTCTACATCAGGCACCTAGAACAGTAATTGGCACATAGTAAGTGCTTAATATTGGTCAAATGATGAGTACTCATAAAAGCTACCATTGCCTCAACACTGTGTCCCGGGGATGGGTGCTGTTATGTCCATATGATAGAAGGGACATGTGAAGCACAGAGAGGTCAGAAAACTTGCCCGATATCTCACAGCGCAGAAGAGGTACGGCCAATGTAAAACATAGGCGATTTAATACAATCTTCCATTGATCCCCTCCTGCCCCCTTTCTGCCGATGGAAGAAACTCCAGTTCAGAGAGATTACATGGATTTTAGGGACCCCACAGCTAGAAGGAGGCAGAGCCAAAACCAAAATTCAATGAAGAATCTGTCTGACCCCAGGACACCTGCCGCTGCTTTCCAAAGCCTTTCCGGCCGCGAGTTCTCAGGCCACCGCACCAAGCCACGCTGTCCCTCTCAGTAAACGCTACCTGTATCGGTCTCTGCTCAGAGCCCGTTGGCCTACGTGGCTTCGAGACCGGGGCTCCCAGCAGGGCGCTGGCCACTGAGCCAGCTCATTTATTCATTAATTTGCTTTCCATATTTCCAAACAGAAAGCGGCCGTTCCAGGCAAGGCAAATCGATACCGCGCTCAGCGATCCATCTTCATTCGTACCACATCCCCGCACCGGCCCCGGTGCTTGTCCCCCGGCCTCCTCCTGATGGGTTCCTGGATGCTGACGAATAGGATTCTCAGCGGCGGCCACGCCGCGTTAGCAGATTAAATCGTTAATATCTGCATCGGTCATTTTTACGAGCCTCCCTTACCCCAAACGCGTCACCACCCTCGTGTTGAGTACACTGTTAGTGATGCGGGCGGCCACGGTACAGATGAAATTGCCACTCCTGAGGTTTTATTGGCTGCGAGCTTGGAGATATTGTTTTCCCGCCCCCCCCCCCCCCCGCTTTTCTGAAATCAGGCATCCTGCCCGGGGTTGCAGAAATGCCCCTGCTCCCAGCACCCCAAAGAGGTGGGAATTACCATTAGCTCTTACGCTAAGGAAACTGAGGTTCTGGGATTTGCCCCAGATTACAGCAGACTTGAACTCGGGTGTGCATAACTCCGGAGACTATGCTCTTGACCAGCACCTACCTTGCCCTGCCTCCCTCCTTTAGCTCCAAGAGAGGGCACAGGTAGAAAGAATAGATGTTCAGTGTGATGGATGGAACGCTTGTGCCCCCCCCCCCCCCACCAATTCATGGGCTGAAGCCCTAAGCCCTAATGTGATGGTGTTGGAAACAGGGCCTTTGGGGGATCATCAGGCTAGATGGGGTCATGAAGATGGGGCCCCCATAATGAGATCAGTGTCCTTATAAGGACAAGAAGCCACAGGGCGTGTGCTCCCCACCCCGCCCCTCTACCATGCGAGGACACCGTGAGAAGGTGGCCATCGCCAAGCCAGGAAGAGAGCCTCCCCGGGAAGCTGACCATGCTGCCACCTTGAGCTTGGACTCCCCAGCCGCCAAAACCGTGAGAAGCAAATGGCTGCAGTGTAAGCCACCCAGTATGCTATTTTGTTATGGCAGCCTGAGCAGACTAAGACGTCAGAAGCATCACTCTGTCCAGGCCCAGAAGCATCACTCTGTCGGCCCAGGGAGGCAGGGAGCAGAGGGACAAGATGCCGGAAACCAGAGCACAGGGTAGGTCTATCTACGCTGCCACCTTCCACTGCCCTCAGGCAATTCCGCAGACCCCCCAACTTCCCCACCCTCCAAAGCAGAAGAGAATCCAACGCACTCCCTCTTAAGTTCCAAAAGGCTTAGCTTTATCTCCAAAGGAGCAGACAATAAATATTTTGGGCTTTGTGGGCCATACAGCTCTCTCACGCCTACTCAGCTCCGCCATTGTGGCACAAAAGCGGCCACAGAGGACAGGTGGATGAATGGGCGCGGCTGCCTTCCGATACAATTTTACGTGCAAGAACAGGCAACAGACCAGATGTAGCCTGCAGGCCACAACTCGTGCCCTGGAGGATGGGGTTTTAGGAGCAAGAGTCTGTGATTTCTGGAACCGTGACACTGACCTGTCTTGGATCACGCAGTGAGGCCAAGAGGTGGGAAATGCCAGCACGGGGAGGGGAGGGGCAAAGTCCGCCGCAACACGGCTGGATGAAATGCAAAACCTGGGGCATGGAGTGGAAGCCAAAGTGGAGTCAGCCGGGGCAACACGGCTGAAAACAAGTGCCATCATCATAATAAGAGTAGAAACCCTACGTCCTTACCGTGGTCCACAAGGCGCTCACGATATTCTCCTCGTGGCACTCGCTCTCTGATCTCATCTCTGCTGCCCCTCCCTGTGCATGCTGCTGTCAGCCACACTGGCCTCCTCGCTCCTCCTCAAACGGCCAAGCTTGCTCCCACCTCGGGGTCTTTGCACATGCTGTTCCCTCTGCCTGGACCGTAACCACGGGGCTAGCCTGCTGGAGGATTAGACCGCAGGGAACGCCGGCAGGCTGTTCCAGCTGAGGCCATCCTAGACCAGCTAGCCCCGGGCGGGTCTATCAGCTGGCCATGAGTGAGTCTGTTCAAGACCAGCCAAGCCTGGTCCAGATCAGCAGAATACCGCAATGAAACTGCAGACATAAGAACTAATAAGTCTTCATGTCAGAGATCTTTGTTACGCAGCCATAGCTAACTGGCACCGGAGGCTGTGCCCCCAACTTTCTGTATGAATAATATAAGCCTTTACTCTGTCTCATGCTCCAAAGTCTTCATCATGAAAACGAGAGAATCGTGAAAACCTTCCTCCTTCCCTTGCCTGATGTTTCAGCAACATTCAGCGGTGGAGCTGCTAAACTTTTCCTCCCCTTGGCTTTTATGGCACCAGGGTCGTGTGGTTCTCCAGCTTCGTCTCTCTGTTCCCAGGTCGATCTGACTCCAGAGTCTGAACTCCATGCCTTTCATCAGCGGTCGGCTGACTGGATACCAGGGAGCCTTGGGGTTCCATAGGTATGAAGCCTCAAGGAACATCTAAGCAGAATCAGCACCCTACACTCTTTGCCCATCTCTTTGACTACCCATGTCCCCCCAAGAATCGTGAGCCCTTATTTCCTCTCCTTATCCACAGCCTTCATCCAGAACCATGTACTTCAGATAATCTTGAACTCGGCTATTGACCTCTTCTGGACTTCCCTGGTTCCTGACCCCATTTCCTGTTGAGGCCTCCTGCCTCTCCTTGGCTATGAGACTCTCTGTTCCGCCTTTTCATCTCTGTCCTCTGACTTCTTTCCAAGACTTCCAGCCAGACTCACCAGTTAGATAATGCCTCTTTGGACTGAGCTGTTGTTCTGACCAACATGGCTCCCTCCAGATCCAGCACCCAATGGTTGACAAACACCCTTGGTTCACCCTACCCTGTGAGTGGGACTAGGATACATGGTAATGTTTTTGTTTTTTTTTAATTTTTTTAATGTTTATTTATTATTGAGAGACAGAGAGAGACAGAGCATGAGCATGGGAGGGGCAGAGAGAGGACGAGACACAGAATCTGAAGGAGGCTCCAGACTCTGAGCTGTCAGCACAGAGCCCAACGCAGGGCTCGAACTCACGAACCCAGCGAGATCATGACCTGAGCTGAAGTCACACGCTCAACCGACTGAGCCACCCAGGGGCCCCTACATGGTCATGTTTAATATTCATGAACAACTTTGGCAGTTGATTTAGTCTTCTTCTCCACCCCCAAGTCCCTGGGGACTTTGATGTCCAATGTGAATGGACCAGTCCCCATCTTCACCTGTGGCCCTTAGCCTCCCCATTCCAATGGACTTCACTTTCCATCCACTTCAGCCGCCCACATCCATGTTCCTGACATGCTCAACCTTCTGCTTGAGCTTGAATCCCGGCCT